CTTGACTCCTCACTCTCACCCCCATATCCAATTAATTAACAAGTCCTGTTGGTTTCACCTTCATAATATCCCTTGTATATTCCACTTTCTCTCTTCTGACACTACCATTACCTTAGACTAAGCCTTCCTCACCTTATACCTGAACCATTTCACTAGCCTGCTGGTTGGCCTCCTTTGCTCAAGTCTCTTCCCACTCCAGTCCATCCTCCTCTCAGCAATCAAATGATGTTCCTAAAGCACAGGTCTGACCATTGTCACTCCCTATGTAATTAACTGCAGTGGTTCCCTATTGCCTCCAGGATCAAATATAAAATCTTTTTTGCCTTTATTACCTAGACCCTTATACCTTACACTCACTCCTCCTCAAACTCGAAATCCAGTGACTCTGCCATCCCCTACAAGCACTTGCTAATACCCCCATACCTGGAACTCTCTCTCTCTCTGTCCTATCTCCATGTCCTACCTTTCCTGGCTTCCTTTAAGTCTTAGCTTCTTCTGCAAGAAGACTTTTCTTATCTTCCAAATAATACTAGTGCCTTCCCTTGATTATCTCCAGTTATCTTGTACGTAGCTTACCAGGGCCGCATTTTGTCTTAGAACCAAACTTGACCTCAGAGGGTGTTGGCACACCCACAGTACCATCTTAGAGACCATCAGAGTCATAGACCTAGAGTGTGAGGGTCTTTAGACATCCAGTCCTTTCACTTTACCAATGAAGAAACTGAGGCCCCAGGAATTGAAGTGACTTGTCCAAAGTTATACAAGTAATAAGCAGGCTCAAATCTTCTGACCAGGGGCAGCTAGTTGGTGCAGTAGATAGAGCACAGACCTGGGAGTCAGGAGGACCTGAGTTCAAATCTGACCTCTGACACTTGACACTTACTAACTGTGTGACCCTGGACAAGTTACTTAACCCCGTTGCCTAGTCAAAAAACAAAAAAAGAATGTTAAAAAATCTTCTGACCAGTTCCTTTGTTCCAGCACTCTTTTGGCTACATCAAGCTGCCTACCGTGTCCTGAAAATGATTTTTTGCATACATCATATTTGCTTATGATATTGGGGTAGCTAGGTGACACAATGGATAGAGCACTGGGCCTGGAGTCAGAAGGCCCTGAATTCAAATCTGGTCTCAGGTGCTTACTGGGCAACTTATAACTTCTGTCTGCCTCAGGTTCCTTATCTGTAAAATGGGGATA